CAATTATTGTATTGAAAGTTTGTGAACAAGCATTGTGAAGAAAAAATCAAAGAGATATCATTAGTTAAAAAGTATTGCAAAATAAGAACAATAAAAAGTAAGAAGCAATATATACCTAAGTAGTAAACGTATAAGAATGGACCTCTTTTAGTATCATTAGTGGAGAACATAGTAAAAGCAATGGTCGAAGTTGTAGAAAACCTGAAGTTGGTTCAAGTAAAACGTTGTCTCAGACCTTGGCTATACTATGTGTATTATCATCCAGGATATTTAGCTTGTAATTGTCTAGACCAAATAAAGTATAAGTATTAGGACCATAATGTGAATATATCTAAAAATAGAAAAGAGAAGGTTAATAAAAGTAATGGACAAAAAAAAGAAAGGATGATATGTATCTGGTTAGTAAGGTGGATGAAATAAGATTTCTTGGATTTGCAGATGAAAAAAAAGGTGACATTATGAAATGTAGAAAGGTAAATCGATTTAGTAGTATAAATATTAGAAAGAATAAAAGAAGAGTAAAAAAAAGAGTAAGTGTTAGTATGAGCAGTCAAAGTAATACAATAACAAAAAAACAAACAAAAAGAATAGACAAACCTGAAGGATCCAACGAAAAGAATCAAAGAAAGAGGTTCAAGCATCTTCAAAAATCTGCAGACAAAGATCAAAGTAATGAAATATATATGGCTAGTTATTGTTTTAAAAATGAAATCAGAATTGATGTACCTAGACCAAAAGATAAAAGAACCCCAAGAGTGTGAATTTGGAGGTGAACTTGATAATGAAGTCAGAGAAAATAAAGCGATGATATTGATAGAAGTACCACTGGCTATAGTTATGCAAATGAATGCTATAATGAAAGGTTCGTTGGAATTGCTAATAGAGATTAAGCCTTTTAGTAACAATCCGAGCAATGAAAATAATAAGGTCGATATATGTAAAATAGATGATGATACAAAAAGAGAGGATGTGAAAGGAAATGTGACTGTTAATAAAAGTGAAAAGAGAGGAATGTTTGAAGTAAAATATAAAAATGATGAATATATATCTATAAGCAATAATGAAATAGCTTTGAACTACAATGATAAAGTTAATTCCCTAAAAATGTTAGTAATAATGAAAGTAAAGTATTATACTATCATCAAAGAGCTATTGATAATGTGAAACTAGTGATATGGGCCGACCCTGGCCCATCAGCTGGGCGGGCAGGCGGGCCGAGGATCGACGCACACCTTCACAGGGCGGGCGGGCCACTAAGATAAGTTAGGTTTTAAATAGTAAGTTACTGGATAATTGTTGTAAGTTGCCAGAACTTTTGGCTAAGTTATT